TCAGACCACAACTATTTATTCGGAAACTGCAGCTGAGCAGAATTGTACGAGGAACCAAACATTGTACGCAAACTTTCAATGCGTTTCTAGTAAGTTACAACATACAGAAAAGTTGTCACTCTCGAAGCAGACTTACTAACCAGTTTCCACATTGTGTTGAACATTATGTTAGAGGCGCTTGAATATACTATGCAGGAAACTTTCCTTGGCAATTAAACGCTATTTGTTGACTCACAATAATCAGCCTGCTATCCCAGGCGCGTGCAATGAAGGAAAATATTTACCTGTGACACAATTCCCCAGGTACCAGGAACTTCTGCTTTGTAGTGTACGAAAGGTATTAGGTTTCTAAACCTCAGCGTCCAAGCCTGTATAGTCAGAGTGGAAGGGAGTACTAAACCACTGGGGAAAACAGTGACCGCATATCTGGAAGGCACTACATAAAACCTTACGTCAAGATTGTTCTTAAGCCCCACTTTCTAAAGAGTTGCGAATGTAACTAAGCAACCCTGTTAACAAGATAGAATTAGAAGCCTTGTTTCATGGAAGCTTCGGCGTCGGCGTCATTCGTTCTTAATGAAAAATCAGCATTATCTGACGGCTAAAACTTCACCAGTACGGAAAGAAACATATAGCTAAAATCTTATTTCGAGTGAAAACCGAGCCCGAAACTTTTGCGTGGCAATCGGGTGCTCTAACAACCACTCTGGTGCTGTCATACGCTTCGGAGGAAAAATCATATACTATGAGTGCCGTGTAATATTGCGTGCATTATATTGATGCATGCTACATTGCATGCATTATAATGATGCATGCTACATTGAATGCTATAAACACTCCTCTGGCTCGAGCTGACAAATTAACCCTTCGGCTATGTCACGGGCTATGCATTAGTGTTGAAAATGTGCAGCATGCTTGGTTTATGCTGCGGGATAAAAAACTTAATGTTTATTCAGTGGCAGCTTTTTTTTAACGTCTAGTGGGGTTCTCACTCGACCAATTTTTTCATTCATTTGAAGTTGAGAGCACTCTTTTCCGCAGTTTCGGTATAGACTTCACATGTCGCGCTTTTCTTCGACCAATTTTTTGATATTGAGTGGAATACCAAGTGATTACATGGCATGACAGCCCCACAGCACCTAAACTGCTCGACAGTTATTATCACAGAATTGCAAAACAAGGACAGATAAGAGAATACAGATACGAGATGAACACAAGGGCAACATGGGTGACTCATTGCTCTATAGATGTATTGGCACTTGCTTTGATTTTTCGGGATCGTGTCGTGAGATAAATCTGCGTGTAACTTCAAGATCTCTGTAGCTTAAGAAATCTGAACTCATGTTGATTCGCTCAACTGTTCATGTAGAGCATGCCTTGTAGACTACCAGGAAAGACAAGGGCGGTGTCTGGTCTTGTGTAGGCTGAAACGCCAAATTCTAAGTACTCCTGCATCTTTCTTACAGTATTATCGACGTGATAAGTACACATGACCTACACATCACTTCTTCGCAGTAAATTACGGTTACGTGCGTAGGTACGGTTACGTGCGTATTTGAGCGTGATTGCCCTTGCCTCTGTTTTATCATTGTGCGGTGTTTTTCAGTGGAGCGCCAGTAACCGTATAACATAAATTCTTATCAGCTAGTCCTGTTTAGATCTTTGTTATTTTCATCAGAAAACTCCCGAATGATCTGCTTCATTGTTCGGTGGGAGGAGCGAAAAGGTGCTCGCCTTGCGAGAACCGCCCTCTCAGGCACATGGCTTACGAAACGGTTATGAAGTCTTTCAGATACTTCTTGCATGCCCCACTATAGTGAAATGGGATTTAACAGTACCGCGATTGAAATTGCTCGCCCTTTATAATATTGTGTTCTGACGCTGATAACATAGTGTGCTCTGTAGCTAGCGCGTATCGATTATTTAACGGCCAGTTCATTACAGCTAGCTGGTACAACGCATGGAAATATTCACCCACTGTCTCACGACTTAAAAAAAGAAAGATGGCAGCTTCACACGTCTGCTTGTCATCCCATTTGAAACCTTGGGCTGCCCTTCACCATTGCGAGTATAGTCTCCTATGGTGCTTCGGTTCTGGGCTACAGCCACAACAATGCCTTTAATGCCGTTTGCAGTTATCTTCGTGAAACAAAATGAATGCGCCTCTAAATTCCAATTTGCATATTTGTTATTATATGCGACATTCTTTCCATAGTGCCGAAATCCCCCGGTCATCACTCCTCTTAGTTTCCTAGTTTTGATGGCGTCGTTGGAGCGGCTGCGCAAGAGCCGTGTTGTCTTCAGGGCCAGCGTCACGCGAACTACCACGCTCCTGATGGACGAACTGCCAGCCATCGTTCCCGATGTCAGTCAGGTCGATTCCCAAGTGACTTACCTCACCCAGAACAACGTCGAACTCATCAACCTCAACAAATAAATCTTCGATGCGACTGACGGCAATCTCTGTGAGGAAGAGCTCGAGACCACGGAAGAGTACGACCGAAGGATCTCTTACACCGCGTCCCGAGCGCGGTTCTTCCTCTGAAAGTCTGCAAACACGATGACGGTAAAGAGGGCTGTGAGGTTGGTGTTTACATCCCCAAACGCCAACGCCGGTGGTGCCCCCTCCTCAGCACAGAGCTAGGTTAGTGACTCTTCACCTCAAGAAGCCGATGTGACACTCAGTCAAAAAATAATGCCGCGTCATCGTCCCACGCACTTCGCGATTTGCAATCCCTGAGGGACCGTTTCAGCGCCACGATTTATCTGAACGAACACCTTTTACAGCTCTCGAAGTTCAAGTGACTTCAATCTCATTTGAGCGGTGCAGCAAAAACAGCAGTCGAACTCATCCCACTAATTGAAGAATAACAGCATGGCAATCAAGCCTTTCACGGAACGATTAGGTCGACGCTACTTGCTCGTCAACGATTACGTTGACCCCCTGCTCGCCTTAGCACCAGCCGAGTAGTTAGCAGATGTGGAGAAAGCTCGCCTGCTCTACGACAAGGTCAGATTTCAAGCCTCTGCATAAAGCACTTCAGGTTTCCCACCTGACCAGTACAATTTGGTCCTCAACCACGTCCTGATGAAGTGTCTGCCTATCGACATGACGACTCTCTAGCGCCAGAAGGTGATAGAAGCGCCGTGTGATGTTTCTGTCATCACGACCCCTGATGAGAGCACTCGCCAGACTGCAGAAATACTTACGTCCCTGCGCATTCAGAATGAAATCAGAAAAGGACGCAGGTCAGGACGAACACCGCCCACTTACTCATGTTTACTTGCTGAAGAATTCGTGGTTTAATACACGCCATGACAAGTGGCACATCTGCCAATGGCGTTTGCACTCGCTGCCAGATCTGCTCCTATTACCGAAGAATACTTCCCCTTATGCAATGATTCTTATGAAACATTCACCCACTGTATCACGACTTAAAAAAAGAAAGAAGGCAGCTTCACACAATAGGCGTGCCAAGCCTGAAAGAAGAGTGGCGCAAAGCAGCTTCCACTGTTCTCTTCGATCTTACTTCTCTTTCCTCTTCTCTTTTCTTCGTATATCTTTTTCGGTTTTTTTCGTGTTATTTATCTCATTTCTATTTCTTTCTCTCTCTCTTTATCTCTTTCTCTGTTTCTTGCTCTTTCTATAATTCTCCTTTTTTTCTAGTTCTCGTTTTTTTGCTGTTTTTCTCTATTTTCATACACTTCCTTTTTTTCTTTTTCTTTTTGCCAGCGGTAAGCCAAGGGACCACAGCATACGACAGCTCGGCGCCAGGTATACATGGGCCCAAAGAAATGAGAAGCCACACAGCGTGGTGCGAAACGCCCTTTTCCAGCCGTTTTTTTTTTCAGTCCCTGTCATACCTGTTCTGCATCAAAACACGAAGACGTACCGGCTATAGTCCGTACTGCTGCCCTTAAAGGTTTCCCTCGGGGCTACATTTTCCGGCATACATACTACGGCCCGCTTCCTGGCGTTGTCCGCACGAAGGCCGGTGGTCAAAACGAAGGGAATCGAGCCGCCCGGGAAGGCCATAATTACCACTTATATAGCAAGCACCATGGCCAGGTCTGACTTTTCATACGAGTTTCGACAACAAAGACGTTGAAACTGTGGTGGGGACGTTTAAAACGTCTTCGTAAGTTGTGTATGCTGCATGACGGAGACACCCCGAAATACCTCCAGGCCAGCGCTTAAGGCGCATTGGCGCAAGCAAGTTCGTTTTACTTATTTTAATATACTACAGCCCTAGTGCATGGCTATATCAGGCGTGAATAACACAGAACAAGTACAACAGATTAAAAACTAGAATAAAACTAAAATACGTTACAGCAATGCATAAGAAAACAGGTGGGCGGGCCTTTATTAGACTTGTATCACACTATTTCAAGCATTTTATATTTAACGACTGCCGTACACAAGAGAAAAATTTGCACTGTTTCAAAAATTATGTTTACTTTTCAGCTGAAGAGAAGAAGCATTATGCCCAAATATGCCGACTACATAGATGTACTGAACACACAACAGCTTACACACTAAGGAGCGTGGAAACTCCCGCTCTCTTTCGATTGGAGTTAAGGGCCACTGATCGTTAAAGAGTTGTTTGTTTGAAAAAATACTAATTCGGTCTGTGGAGTGCCTAACAGCATTAGCCGTGCGCAGACATTTGCCTAGAAAGCATAGCTTTTTTCCTGCCAAGTGTTTCTCATACGAGTGGCTAAAATCGTGTTATTTCATTTTGGTCGCATACAATACAATTGAGCACAGGTTACTTATGTAAACATTGCTGTTATGTCAAAACTGAGAACAAAAAAAAAACATTTCCAATACTGACTCTCCGGATTTCGCGAAGAAGCTTCATGATGTCAAGACAATGGAAAATATCTTATGACGAGAGTTGAATACTAGAGAATAGAAGAAAAAAATATTCCACGTAGCCTCAAACCTCTGTGAGGACTCCTCAGCAATGTTACCTATTTTCTGGTAATCTGTACAAGACTATTGTCTACAACAAATGGCTGTCAAGTCTTAGTGTGCACGACAGCGAGAATTCGCTTCAGTGTAAGCATGGCAGAAAATATAGCATTTTCATGCGTTTTCGTTTTTTTAGGTGTGGCGTCGTCCAATGGCGTTATAGAAAAAGGAGCAGTTCCATTCCTGACTCAGGATATCAGAAAGGTAAAAAATTCTGCGTGTTTAGAGTTTTTTCCTGTAAAAAATTAGATTATACAATTTTACATATAGCATGTCTAATAACTGTTCATCGAATGATGCTCGTGTTGTAACTTTTTTGTGCATGGCCATCAATTGTTGTGAGGCAACATAGGCTGTGTATTCATAATACACTTTGCAAATATATTTCTGAAATCCCTTCATAAATGGAATAATAAAACGGAGTCACGCACAGTAAAGGTGAAGTAATGTATGACACATTCCTAATATAAATATATGTATAGCAACCACGCTATCATCATTTAAAGGAACTTGTTGCTTGGGATCACATTCAATTCATAGTCTATAGTAGTCGTGGAGCGATCCGAGTAACGTATACAAACAGCAGGTACGAGCCAAATTTTTTATGATGTACTGCACCAAACACCTGGCTTAACGTCTACATCTGGTTAAGCTTGAAGGCAAATGATAACTTTGAAAATAACTGCCTTGCAGTAAACTAATATAAAATTTTAACAGTGAAACCAAGAAGAATGGAACGCGAAAATTCAAGAGAGTACAATCTTCGACAGGCTAAATTTAGGGCACGCTATCGGAAAGCTTATCGTCATAAGTGTATATTTTCAGAGGCATGCACATGCAAAATGTGAATGAGAACTGGGTAGATTTCGCAGCTGATCTTCAGAGGTTCAAGCATGAATAAAACACATGTTTTACAATACCTTTTTCTCTTGATTTGCTCATAAACTTGCTTATTCTAAACCCCTAACCGCACAATACTTTGTCAAAGTCTTCAGCATCATAGCACAAAAATTCGGCACATCCTACGTACCTAGGAATCAACGTTATGCGAAGCATGTGGAGTGAAGGTGACCGTGTTGCATTTTTTTTAATTGTCTGTCACGTCATGAAAAAACGCTGAATATATGTGCGAACCTTGCACACTAAGACATATGTTGAAGAGTTGCAGATATTTATATAACCAGTTATTTGCACTTGCGCGACGATGCTAACTGGAACATACGTATTAGCAACACCAGAAGCTGATAAGAAGCGGTGATGCTCGTGAGGATGCTGGCCCTGAACACTGCCCCATAAATCAACTTCAGTGCATGGCAACTAACCACGATTGACGTTGACATGACATGAAGGATGTATGAAAGGCATGCGTATTGTTTATAAAATTGAGTAGGCAGTACTGCAACCACTATTGACGTTTCACGAAAATTAACATGTATTTGAAAAGTAGTTCCGAAACCTGGCATAGCTCTGTGATAAAATGCTTCATTGCTACGCAGAATGCTTGGGTTCGATTCCAGCTGGGACCGTGACATTTATTCTTTGCATTTGTCTGCTTGGTGCTACCGATTTCGGTTATTTTAGCTCGCACGTTAAAATTGCCCATGTGTATTCTCCTCATTCCTAGGTAGATATTAAGTGTCAATCACTTGTGACACAGACCCGCATACCAGCGGCACATACCCGCCCTTAGGTATGTGCCACTGTCTGGCGGGGCGTGTTTGACGACGTACGTGACGGGATTGTGACATTATTGAGATCTTGAGCAGCGCGTAATATTCTTCAAACCGTCTTACCCTCCCATGCTAATCTTGGTTCACGCCAAGTTAAGGAGGTGACCACGAGAGTATCCAAACATAAGCGGATAGATAGATAGATAGATAGATAGATAGATAGATAGATAGATAGATAGATAGATAGATAGATAGATAGATAGATAGATAGATAGATAGATAGATAGATAGATAGATAGATAGATAGATAGATAGATAGATAGATAGATAGATAGATAGATAGACAGACAGACAGACAGACAGACAGACAGACAGATAGATAGATAGATAGATAGATAGATAGATAGATAGATAGATAGATAGATAGATAGATAGATAGATAGATAGATAGATAGATAGATAGATGACCTTGAGGCAAAATTTGACAGCCGATTGACAAAGCTCGTGGACAGAATTGTGGGTGACGTTACAACGAAGCTTCGAGAGACGGGATTTGATCTCGGTGCTCTAAATTCAGAGGTTAAAGGTATGGATGCTGGCCTGAAAATGCTTAACGACATTGTAGAGATTGTCCGCACTCAACAACAAGAGCTTTGTTCTACTAACAAAGCTTTGAAAAATGAGAACGAGACTTTTAAGAAAAAGGTGGCGGACCTGGAGCAGTAGACTCGGATGAACAACGTCGAGGTCAAGGGCGTTACTTCTTCCCAAGAGGAGGACTGTGTTGCCATAGTGCAGTCGATTGGTAACAAAATCGACTGTCCTGTATCAGGCACTGATCTTGACGTTGTTCACATAGTACCAGCTAAGTCTGGACAACAGAATATTGTGGCCTGTTTCTGTTCACGAGAGCAAAAGAATGAGTTTGTTAGGAAGGCACGTAAAGCTCGCTTGAATACACATGCTCTTGGTTTTTCTGGAGAGGGCACCCTTGCTGTCTTTGTTAATGATCACCTCTCGCCGGATAACAAGAAGCTTTTTACTAAAGCACTTGTTCTCAAAAAAGAGAAACAGTGGGCGTTTCTTTGGACTGATAACTGTCAGATAAAAGCAAGGAAATCTACTGAGACCAGGGTATTTCGCATAAAATCAGAGATCTACTTGTTCATTATCTCCTAGTTATATCATACATTAGCAATTGTAGCGTCTATCCAATTGCAGGATGGCGTATATTTCACCGTCTGAACTCTCATCACGGATGTCTCAACCATGTAGAGCGTTAATTCACTTTAACGCTCGAAGTATAAGAAAAAATTATGACAATATTAGCTCATTGCTGTCGGCCATTGGTCACCAGTTCTCTATCATCCGCATCAGTGAAACGTGGCTATGTGAATATGACAGGGACCTGTTTACGTTTCCTTCCTATTCTTCTGAATACTGTCACCGAATCGACGATGCACATGGTGGAGCAGCTATATTTATATCTTCATGTCTTCGCTATCAAAGGCGACTGGACTTGGCACTAAGTATTCCTGGTTGCGAATCCGTGTGGATCGAACTTCATGAACCACATTTATCGCAAGATAGTAAAAATTTAGTTGTGGCCTGCATATATCGCTCTCCGTCGTCATCTGTCGTGGAGTTCTGCCTAGCTTTAGGAGAGGCGTTGAAAACTCTGTCATTGGAAGGGAAACGGGGGATTATTTTATGAGATATGATTATCAATTTTCTTGATGACACCAACGCAAATGTTTCTGAATACATTTCCTGCTTCAGTGGGTATGGCTACGAGTGCCTCATAACTGCACCAACTCGTGTTCCACTTCATGGCAACGGCACTATTATAGATCCCATTTTGTCTAACCTCATTAGTCCTCTTGAAGCAGCTGTCATCGAAATGCCTGTCACAGATCATTATCCTATTTATGCAAGCATAGGCATCTCCAATAATAATAAAATAAGTCGATGCTTCAAGAATATCTTAAATACCACATCATTCATTAACATCATCGAGCAGTGTGATTGATCGGCAGTTACGAAATGCAATATTGCTGAGATAGCCTACCAACAATTTTCCTCTATCATTTCAAATGCAGTCACGGCCCCTTCAACGTTAGTAGTAAGCAGAACAAAGTACCTTGTCCCAATTATTCCGTGGTTGACACCTAAACTGATAAAATGTCTTCCAAAAAAGGATAACTTATACAAAAAGACGAAAAAGTGCCCTTTCAATGTTCACCTTCAAAAGCGCTATAAAGAATGTTCAAACACATTAGGAAAGTTACTTAAAGCCGCTAAATTAATGCATTTCGAAGATAAAATAAAGCGAGCCGGAAATGACGTTAAGCAGCAGTGGAAAACTGTAAACAATTTTCTTGGCAGTACTACGGTACATTCAGATATAACCTTGATTCACTCAAAAAAACGTGTGATCGATAACCCATCTGATATCGCGAACTCTTTTAATGACTCATTCGGCATTGATATTCCTCAGTCGACAGCACCCCTCGAACACACTTGTTCACGATTACCACATTCATTCTTCCTTTATCCGACGTCACCCGAGGAAGTGTTCACCGTTATCAATAGTATTAGGAATACAAGCGCTGGTCTCGATAAGTTCCTTGCTGCCGACATGAAACTGATAGCACATTTAATCTGTGATGCATTATGTCATATTATAAATCTTGTATTTGTAACTGGGTTCTTCCCTACATCTCTGAAAAAAGCAAAAATTATTCCCGTTTTTAAAAAAGGTGACAAGCGTTTAATCTCCAATTACAGGCCTATAGCAATTATTTTATTCTTCAGTAAGGTCATAGAAAAGCTTTTTGCGGGACGTTTGCGGTGTTATCTAGACAAGTTTCACATTCTTTCTAACAAACAGTTCGGTTTCAGGCCCGGTTACTCAACTGAACTCGCCATGATATCGCTAACAGAGGAAATTAAATATGCTATTGACAGCGGTAGTGTTGTTGGAGGCATTTTTTTTACCTTTCAAAAGCATTTGATTCTATTTCGCACGACATTTTATTTCAGAAACTAGAATCAATTGGTGTATCTGGCGTCCCACTAGAACAAATTCGTAACTATCTGCGTGATGGAGAACAGGTGGTATATGTGTCCGGTACCTTTTCCAATCCTAAAACCATAAACATCGGTGCTCCACAGGGTTCAATTTTGGGCCCGCTTTTATTTTTAATTTATATAAACGATCTTCCTCAATGTCTAGAACATTCGTCCTGTACACTCTATGCGGGCGATACCGCTATATTAACTACAGATAAAGACGTTGACTCGATGCCGTTTAAACTAAATACCGACCTGATAAATATCGTTATATGGTTCAATAAGAATAAATTAAACATAAATGCTAAAAAGTCAAACTTCGTTGTATTTTCGTCACCTAATCGAATTATACCTAGGAACCCCTCTGTCTTCGTAAGCGATACTCAAACTCATTCTACCTCCAGTACAATGTTTCTCGGGGTCAAATTAGATGAACATTTAAAGTTTAATTCACATAATTTA